CGCAGCAATCTGGTCGCACTCGATGCCGATGCGCTCACATCGCCCGCGCGTTACCAGCGAGACGGCTGGCTTGGCCGGCCGCTGCGAAACCTGAGCTGCCTCGCGCTCTACTTCGCCGGTGTCTCGCCGAACGTCCTGCGCAGGCTCTACGGATGACCAGGCGTCATCTCGTCATCCTCGCGCGCGCCCCGCAAGCCGGTCGCGTGAAGCGCCGCCTCGGCGCGGAGATCGGCATGATGGAAGCGGCCCGCTTCTATCGCAGCATCCTCACGGCGCAGATCGAGCGCATGACCCGCGACCCGCGCTGGATGGTCTGGCTGTTCGTGACGCCCGACACCGAACGCACTCACCCGGCCTGGCGTCTCGTGCCGATGTCGCGGCGACGGCCGCAGCATCCGGGCGATCTCGGCCGCCGCATGAAGCGGCCTTTCGAGACCTTGCCGCCCGGCCCCGTCGTCCTGGTCGGCAGCGACATTCCCGCGATGGGCACCCATCACATCGCTCGTGCCTTCGATCTGCTGGGCCGGCACGATCTCGTCTTCGGGCCGGCGCGCGATGGCGGCTTCTGGCTGATCGGCGCTAAACGCTTGCGGCCGTTGCCTCATACGCTGTTCGAAAAGGTGCTTTGGTCGACGCCAACGGTGCTGGCCGACACGCTGGCCAGCATCCCTTCGCACTTCACGACCGCGCTGGCCGACACGCTCGACGATGTCGACGATGCCGAAGCGCTGCGACGGCTAACGCTCTAAGCAACCATCTTCTTCAAGCCGTCGAGCTCGCGCCGCACGCGGGCGAAGACGTCGTTCCAGCTTCCGCCGACCGTCTGCTGGAAGAGACGCGCCGAGGGATACCAGGGCGCCTCGGCGCCGCCGAGTTGCCAGCGCCAGTCGGCGGTCGCGGGCAGCAGCACCCAGGTCTTCACGCCCATCGCCGCGGCGAGATGCGCGACCGGCGCATCGATCGAAATCAGCAGGTCGAGCTGGGAGAGCGCGGTCGCTGCCTCGGCGAAATCGAAGATTCCGCGGCCGACATCGTGAACCAGTCCGCCCGCGCCGAAGGTCTGGATGTCCTTC